CCCCTGCCTGCCAAAAAAATGTTAGCACGGCACCTCGAGTTGCCTTGGCTGCAGGAAGCCAGAACTCCCAAGATGATGTCATGCTTTTGGCGTCGTTACCTTAATGAGGAAGTGCCCTTGTTCTGAGCACTGAGTGAGTCGTTAAAAAAAAAAAAAAACAACCAACCTTATAATCTTAGAAGGCCAGATAAGCTTGGAAAAGGGATTACTCCTAGAGGAGAGGATGTGGTTTCCTCTGGTTTTGAGTATACTGTTAAAAAATCAAACAGCTGTTTAAAAACATTTAGTTGGTGTATGTGTGTGCACGATAGATGCTAAAACACTACAGAACTCCCCCCATTAAATATTAAGGTACAGAACACCCAAAATGTCACATCTCTACGTTCCCTTTTTCGGAAAAATCAAAGTGCAGACATGCTATCGTGGTTTTCAGAGGGTCGGCTTAGAAATATATATTATATATATATAGATAGATAACAAAATATGAACAGAAACTGGCTTTCAAGGATGGTGAGCACTTTCTCCTTAAAAAACGCTCGACTGGAAGATAAAAACTGCTCGCTCAGTGCTAAGAGGGCTGACAAGCTGACATGATTCTAGGAGGGTTTGGTTTTGACCTTCAAATGCCACATGCAGGTAGCGGCTAAGAGGCAATCTTGATGAAACACGGTGAATTAATTATTCTCCTTGTAGAGTGGGTAAGTCTCTCTCCCCTAGTTACCTACAGTGCAGTGGCCAGCAGGAAGGACCACCGGTAAGACAGTGTGGTTTGCTAAGCTGTGATGAAAACAGGAAACTACTGTAGTTAATAATTGTTGAATACACCCTGCCACATGGCCAGATCTAAAAGATTTTAATACCGTATGCAAATGTGCCATAGATATAGCTGCTAGCAAGTTGGTTACCTAATTGGGTACTCTTTTATTTTATTTTATTTTATTTTTTAAATTTTTATTTTTCTGGAAATCTTGAAGTGGCTGTCCGAAGGTCTTCGAAGTATTAATGGCCACGGTCAGCTGTTACTCCATGAGAACAGCTGAATTTCCAGGTTTTGAGCCTGACTCTTAGAGCCTTGAACTATAACAGATCCCTCAACTGGAAGTCTTATGGATGCAGCAGATCCGCAGCGCTTCCTCCTCAGCTGGTCTGTGTTGGCCATCGGTTGCGTTAACGTTATTTCGTTAATCGCTGTTGAGCGGTGCCAACGGACCTCGTAATCCATGGTGCTAACCGGAGTCATAGGCAGTGTGTTTCCTGCAGTCTTGGAAGTCCAAATGCTCTCCCTATATACAGTCAACTCCCTTTCTCATGGTGCATGTACATAGTCACTTGAAGAGGCCTGTAGATGAAGTTGGCTTGACGAATGCAAGTTCATGAAGCTAGGGCAGAAGCAAAGGGACAGCAAGAAGTGGCGATGCTGACAAAATTCCCAGTACGGCACGAAGACGACGACTCGGTGGATAAATCATCCTGAATGGAGGATGCTATCTTTGGTCACAAATTAGCTTACAGGGTAAAAAATAACAAAACCCTCAAAAAATCAAAACACGGGGAGGGGGGAAGAAATGAATTCACTGCATCTGCACAAGTAGAAATGGCAGTGTCTTCCAGTGATTACGTAGGTAATAAGGTCTACACCTAGAGAAGATGAATGCTGCATACGGGGTGGGTGGTTCTGTGGTGTCGTTGAGGGGTGGCAGCTTCTCACTTCGCCTCCTGTTTCCAGTCCTCTTTGCAGAAGTGTCTAAGAAGCTGCTGGAGGTCATGTTGGAGGTCATCCTGTGGTAGTGCTTCTGGTGTGTCTTCCAGCTCTTCTATGTGAACGTGTTTTCCGTACCGATCCTTCATCACAGTCCTCTTCTGCGTGCTGGCTTTACTCAGCGTCGTCCTAAAACAAAACAAATGAGAAAATGGTTTGAAAAAGCCCGCAGCTCCTGAAGGTTTTAAAAAACAATCCTTTTCAGCTGCAGCTTTAAGGCTTTTTCATTGAAAATAACACGAGAAGAACTGCAGCTGGCAGTTCAAGCCAGCCTCTGAGGTCACAGATTCTTTATGCATTCCGAATCGTGTCCTGGGCTGCATCCGGAGCAGCGTGGCCAGCAGGTCAAGGGAGGTGATTCTACCCCTCTGCTCTGCTCTCGTGAGACCCCACCTGGAATACTGCGTTCAGCTCTGGAGTCCCCAACACAAGAAGGACATGGAGCTGTTGGAGCAGGTCCAGAGGAGGCCATGAAGATGATCTGAGGGCTGGAGCACCTCTGCTATGGGGACAGGCTGAGAGAGTTGGGGCTGTTCAGCCTGGAGAAGAGAAGGCTCCAGGGTGATCTTATTGCAGCCTTCCAGTACCTAAAGGGGGCCTACAGGAAAGCTGGAGAGGGACTTTTTACAAGGGCATCTAGTGATAGGACAAGGGGCAATGGCTTTAAACTCAAAGAGGGGAGATTCAGATTGGATATAAGAAAAAAATGTTTCCCTCTGAGGGTGGTGAGGCACTGGACCAGGTTGCCCAGAGAAGTTGTAGATGCCCCATCCCTGGAAGTGTCCAAGGCCAGGCTGGATGAGGCTTTGAGCATCCTGGTCTAGTGGAAGGTGTCCCTGCCCACGGCAGGGAGGTTGGAACTAGATGATCTTTGAGGTCCCTTCCAACCCAAACCATTCCATGATTCTGTGATTCTACGAATACAACATGCACCACCGCTTTAACCGGCTTTCGTACTGTAAACCAGTAGCAATTAATCTCTACACGCTGATTAAGCACACAGTTTTAGACGCCCAGCACACACATGCTGTAACACACAGACATGCAACGTGTGTTGAAATTCACACAAGACTTGGCTGTTTTTTCTGCTTAACTTTAACACACAGACTTGTCCTGTACGATATTAATTTAAGCTGACTAATTTCTTGAACACTTCTGAACAAGTCTTACTTCTGACAGCCAAAAAAACTACATTGGTGGTAATCTAGTGTCCTGAACTATTCTGTTAATTACTGTCTTAACTCACTGGAACCATCTTGCTCTACTACTCAGAACCTTAAACCTCACCAAGTCCCTTCTAGATCTAGGCAAATACATGTCATTGCCATAGGACAGCTGGGTGTCTCTTGCTTGGTCCTACCCAGAAGCCCAATTTTTGGTCAGCGTCCTTGAGAGAGGACCACGGGAAACTTGGAAACTCTTGCCTGCTCAGGAAGGAATAGCTCGATTTTTATCAGACAGCTGACACTTCTTAATTGGACCTGAATGACCAAAAGGTCCCTTCGTCAGATGGAGCGCTTCGACAAGAACGTGAACCCTTTGTCCAAAAGCAGACGGAGCAGGTCTTTGGCTCTTGGTGTGTCCTTGTGACACCATCCTGCTGACTCTGAAACTGGGATGTGTTTTGCAGCTTGTTAGAATTACGGTTATTGCTGAACACAGCATCCATACTGTCTCTATTTTTTCTTCCACCGGCCCCCTCGGTGAGTAGGTTGGGGGTGGGCAAGAGACTGGGAGGGAGCACAGCCAGGACCGCTGACCCAAACTGGCCAAAGGGATATTCCACACTATACATAATCATGCTCAGCAATAAAAATGGGGTAGAGGAAGAGGCTGGGGGGGTCAAGGGGGGTCTATCCTCCAAGGTGACCGTTGCTTAGAGACTGGCTGGGTATTGGTCTGCTTGTGGGAGATGGTGAGGGATCGCCTTTGCATCACTTGCTTGGTCATTCTTTCCTCTTTCCTTTGCTTATTAAACTATCTTCCTTCATTCAACCCATGTTTTTTGTCACTTTTGCTGTTCCTATTCCCTCCTCCGTTCCACGGTGGGACAGGAGGGCGCGTGGGGAGCGGCTGCATGTCATGGTGCTTGGCCGCTGGCAGGGGCAAACCCCTCACACCCCTGTTCACCAAATCTTTCCAAGTGGATGGAGACCTTTCCGGGGCATGTATCCCTTCCTGTAAGAGACTGTTAGTAGGAATCTTTAGTACTTTTTCAAATAAAACTGTAGATGCTGCCAGTGGTTTCACTTCAGACACTCGCTTAAATCCACTCGTTCATTAGGAGTTTGTTAATCCTTTTCCAGTACCAGTTCACTGACATGCCAAGCCAAACCTTTTGATAATTGATCCGTCCTCTTTCAGGATTTCCTTCTCTACCAAAGCGGGGATTTGGACTTTCATTTGGTTACCTGTATAGCTCAAAGCCTCGAATTAAAACATAAACTTCAAATTAAAACAAAACCCCCACAATCTAGGACAGAAGACAATTGCTCTTCATCCCTTAGTGCTTTATTTTAATGAAGGTGAATGCTGAGAAAACGAGGAACAGGCAACTAAGAGAAGCATCTGCCTGCCACTTTTTCCTTTATTTTAATGAAGGTGAATGCTGAGAAAACGAGGAACAGGCAACTAAGAGAAGCATCTTTTTTTTTTTTTTTTTTTTTTTTTAATAGCTTTTCCCACTGTCACCTTGAGCTGCCTGTCCTCAGCACTAGCGATACAGAGATGGGTATTTGTAGAAATGATGGGGGACACTTCTGAGCCTCGACTGTACTGAAATGGGAGAAGCAGGGAATGGAGCCCGGCAAACTCTTCCGCAGATTATCTGCTGTTACTAAGACTTCAGAGAGAACAGAAAAATAGAAAAAAAAAAAAAAAAAAAGCAGCATTTTGATTTTCCTTTTGGTTGGATGAGGGTTTGTCTGTGGTATCTCCGGCAGGCTGCTTGATTTACTGAACTAGGGAAAAAAGTGTTATTTCCCAAGGGGTTTCTTTGAACCTCGATGTGATGGTTTTTGCTGCTTGTTTTGTTCTTGTTGGGAGAGGGGGGATCTGGCTGCTGGGCCTATATTCCAACGGGAACTTTGGCACCTCAACCCAATAGCTGAGTGCTTGTTGTCTTGCTGCAAGTTGCAAAACCATTGTATTACTGGCAGAAAATATCCAGACCGTGACACTGTTGCATCTATGCTTTTATATAGTATTTTGTCAAATTAAAAAAGCAAACCGAGTAGTTACGTTGCATCTAATGACACAAAATTTTTACCTATGTGAATCTTTAAGACGTGTTTTACACGTATTATTTAAAGGGACAATAAAAAGGATTAAGAGTGAGGTGCTATCAGTTCCTTACAGAAAGAGCTACAGTAATTCAGTATCATTTTTCTATTACTGAAATGTCTAAACTGGTCAGAAAAAGCATAAAACCACAAAAAGTGCTAATGAGCTTGGTAGCTATTTCTTACTTCCAGGGATAAATACATCAACTAACCCAGACAGCAGATTTAACTGTATCAATTTCTAAAATTAGCTCCATGCATGGAAACATAGGAATGAACTTTAACGGTAACCACACACATAACTTCCAACAACTTTACCTAAAGTCTCCATGTTTTTTTTTTTTTAGATTCTTAAAATATTTCATAGGTAAATCTAAAATGTAATGTTAACTTCCTCTCCCCATGCACTTTATATACTGATCCTTTTATTCCACGGGCTGAGTATAACAACAGAGGTTTATAATCAGTAGTTGAGTATGATGCTCCATCAACAAAACTTTCAAAAGAGGAGAATTTGTCCCCAGGTATGTTGTGACACTGGTTTTAATGATTACATTTAAAAGGCATTTTTACCTCTTCAAAGTCCTCTTTGGCTGACGGAAGATCAGTAGCTAAGCTAGCATCCCCCAGGTGCTTCTCCGTCCTCTCTCCTTGCACTACAGTGGTCTTGATGACTTTGCTGACCTTCCGGCCTTCCACTGGTTCAGACTGGAATTTGGAGGCACTGGGCACAACAGCAGGTTCAGACAGGGTCACCTGTAAGGTTAGGAAGCAGAAATATACTGGATATGAATTACCTAAGGGATACTAACAAAGCTTTTAGTTACTTTTACCGTTCTTTCTTCATCATTGCTATAGAGATCAAGAATATGAGAAGTGTCTCACTTTCCACGTGTGCCCATCAAAACAGCCAGTGTGCTGGGCATCACCTGGTATTTTGATGGGCATCACCTGCGTTAACGGCTCCGGAACGGGACGCTGTAAGACACACGCCAGTTCAGACAGCAGGAACAACCCTGGATAATTTATTCTGCCGAGAAGCTTCCTGCTGGCAGGGTGAAAACTGCTTCTGGAACCTGAACTAGCCTGAGGGCAGCAGGACATTGCTGCCCTCCACCACACTGCAGGTACTGGCTCCCCTGCCACGGGCACTGGAATCACACCAAGTAACGAGCGGACGTCTTGCTGGGAATCGTTGCTGTGTGAATTAGTGGTTATCGGTTCATATCTTAATTTTAAGATATTCTTCTGAGAGATGAGTCATACTTGCAAAACCAAGGAAATCTTAGAGGACCAACAGACTAGAATATTGGAATACCACACCTAAGAGACAAACTCGATTTTATTTGGCAAAATATAAACGTAATGTATATGGGTTCCATATGATAAAGAGTTGTTCTGGTATGGTCAGCTAACCAAAAAAAAATTACTTTGTTTTCTTGCTACCTTACTCCTAGAGAATGAATTTTGGTGATTAATTTTGGCAAGAGAACGGCAATAACGTTCTCAGCATTTCCAATGAGCGCTTGTTAAATGCTGCTTTCGGCCGCAGTACTGCTGCAAGCGACCCCTGCTACGTGCCCCTGGCCCTCTGCCACAACCCAAATCGTGCTGGTACACGTGTCTGTGGGGCTACATGGGGAACTGAGGCAGGAAAAGATAAACTCAACAGCACTTAACCTTTTTGGGTTGTTTTTCCTGTTTAATTACCTGCTCTACAAACGCTTGGCATGAAAGTAAAACTTTTTTTTTTTTTTTAGCCTCTTCAAAGCAAAGAACACACCAGTAAGTTAAACCTAATGCAGCTGTATAGTTTTCCAAGGGCTTAGTTGGAGAAACCTGGAGAACATTTAATTACAACATTCATAGAATCATAGAATGGTTAGGGCTGGAAGGGACCTTCAAAGGTCATCTAGTCCAATCCCCCTGCAAGGAACAGGGATATCTCCAACTAGATCAGGTTGCTCAGGGCCTCGTCCAACCTGGCCTTGAACGTCTCCAGGGATGGAGCATCCACCACCTCTCTGGGCAACCTGTTCCAGTGTTCTACAACTCTCATGGTAAAAAATTTTTTCCTAATATCCAATCTGAATCTACCTCCCTCTATTTTAAAACCATTACCCCTTGTCCTATCACAACTGGCCCTCCTGAATAGCCTCTCCCCATCTTTCCTGTAGGCCCCCTTGAGGTACTAGAAGAAGGAAAGAAGGAAAGAAGACCTGACCTCGGACTGTTCACTGTCGCTCTTCAGCACAACCCGCTTCACAACTTTGGAATAGCCGTCTCCTTCTTCGACAGTGATGGGTGTTTGGGGTGTTCCTTGCATGAGGACTTCCTCTTTTTCTGTGCCATCTGGAGAAACGTATCGCCGGATGATCCTTCTAGTGACCTGAAGGAACGAAACAGAGCTTTGTCCCAAAAGGATTAACAATAACATATGGCTTCACGTTCTCTATATAGTATTTTCTACTCAAAGGGTGTTTCTTCCTACAGAAAAAAATGACATAGATGGGTCAGTGCTTTAGTCTGTAACACGTATACTCACAAGTCCCCGTAGCAAAGCTGCAAGTCGACGCATTCGCCCTACTTAGGTTACCACGCAGCAAAGCTTCCATAAACTTACTTGACAAGAGGGCTCAGTATAGATACTGGAATGACTCTCTAAAGCAGTAGTTATTATAGAATCATAGAATGGTTTGGGTTGGAAGGGACCTCAAAGATCATCTAGTTCCAACCCCCCTGCCATGGGCAGGGAAATCCTCCACTACACCAGGTTGCCCAAAGCCTCATCCAACCTGGCCTTGAACACTTCCAGGGATGGGGCATCCACAACTTCTCTGGGCAACCTGTGCCAGTGCCTCACCACCCTCAATGTAAAGAATTTCTTTCTTACATCTAACCTAAATCTGCCCTCTTTCAGTTTAAATCCATTGCCGAGGTATAGTATTTTAGAGAGAAAACATTCTTTACAATGGCACAACTGCTAGAAAACATTTTCAGACTGGCGTTTTCAAAATTGCTTCTGAAACTAAGAGGTTAGCAGGCTGGCTATCAAATGCTCAGAACTGGATTCAAGGAGTGACTCGGACCTCACACTGCAACACTGACGGTACTAACCAGTGCTGAGCTAGTGAGCTAGAATAACCTACTTCATAGAATCATAGAATGGTTTGGGTTGGAAGGGACCTCAAAGATCATCCGGTTCCAACCCCCCTGCCACGGGCAGGGACACCCTCCACTACACCAGGTTGCCCAAAGCCTCATCCAACCTGGCCTTGAACACTTCCAGGGATGGGGCATCTACAACTTCTCTGGGCAACCTGTGCCAGTGTCTCACCACCCTCTGATTGAAAAATTTCTTCCTTATATCTAATCTAAATCTGCCCTCTTTCAGTTTAAAGCCATCATCATGTGCTTCAGAGCCTCATCTGGTGCTTAAGCTTTCTCAGCATTGGCAAGCCAAACAAAGAGGAGCAGAAGATTACAGCGTTCAAGACGAGGTAAATTTCTCAGGAGGATGGGTATGCATCCCTCTGTGGATGACGTGGAGCTCTGCATTTCATACACCTCCCCAGCCCCTTTTGACAAGGTAACATTAAGCAGTTACCTCCTGCTTTGTCCAGAAGTTTATTTGCTGTGATGCTCGATCAGACTGGGTCACCTATATTTAAGCGTCACAGAAGTGGAGGTAATGCCCTCCCAGGAATGGATCTATCCAGAATAACACAGTCATGTTCACTCTTGCACGTTGTGCCCAAGAATATTTGGACAAGGTTGTTTATTTTAATATGAATTCAAAGAGCTTCCAGAGACATACTGTCCACCTGAGGGTCTACGACGTTTTCTTGGGAGACAGAAGACGGAGTTTGCCACCAGCAGAATTCAGTCAAGTCCTAGACCAATTCTCTAAGCACTGACTTGTCAGGTAAAGCAAGGAGCACAGAAGATCTTCTTCCACTTCCATGCTATGCAGAACTCATTTTTAGAAGCATGGTCTGAAAACGCTTATTTTATGAGGCCATCACGCAACTAAGTACTTTCTATATTCTTTGTGCCATAGAAACTTAATTGTATCTACAGGTACAGAAATGTAGGAACCTGGTCAGGCACAGCTGAGTGGAGATTTTGAAGATCTGAAGTCTGGATTGAGATGACTCTTGCAAACCCAGCCCTCCATTAGTTTCACTAATACGAGCAAACACGGTCTTAGATAAAATTGCAGTGGTGTGGGTTTTTTTTTATTTTTGTATTTCTCAGAAATGTGCATCTATGAAGAATTTTCATTTACTTTAAGTGGAAAAATTAACAAAATATGTCATGTTGAGTTATAAACAGTAACATAGAATGATCTGGTGAATCAGAATAATTCTTCAAACTCTGGAATCTCTCATGAACAGAAATTCTGGTTCCTTCCACACTCTACTTTTAAAAATCATGCCCTTTCACAAAAGAAAATTTGGCATGTATGTGGACGTAATTATCCTTCCTTTTATAGAATAATAAGAAGGCAGCAAGGGGCACAGCTGACAATACCTTCTTTACCACTGTGTGGCCATGTTCATCTGTATATTGCTCTTCTGTGACTGTTTCTGGTGGCATTTCAGGCATACTATCAGCCTGTACGACAAAGAACAAAGTTTTATGAAGCAAGGACTTCAGGTAGCTAACTTCAAATAAACAATTTTAAGATCGGTTAATTGGTTAAAGAAGGAAAAAAAAAAAAATTGAAGAATGTTAGAAAAAAATTTGTTGTGCAAGTAAATACTTAGAAAGGCATGCAAAGAAAAGTTACGCCACAAGGGACAAACAGATGTTAGTTGATCGTGTTGTTTATGAGATTGAGAAGTCTTCATTCTTCTCCTACTGAGGCATCTAACGGGACTTAGGGTTGGGTTAGCAGTATGACTATCATCTTCCCTTCAGGAACAGGTATCGGAATGGCTTATCCAATGCCCATGCATTACTCAGGAGCATTCCAGCTTCAGGAGCAATAACCAGCCAAGCGGTTGCCTGAAGGTGTCACCAGGGCCTAAGTCACCACAGGCTCGTGCAATGGACACTCCGTACCTGAATAATCACCCGGCGACGAACGACCCTGGTAGTGACCATCTCGTCCTCGTCCGAGCTGGTCTCCAGCCCACCTAACTCCTCTGCTAACTCCTATTGGAAGCATGGAAGCAGTGCCTTGTTGTATGTGGTACTACCAGTACTTACAGGTTCTGTCTTGGTTTTGTCTAAAACCATCTTCACTTCTGAAAATTAGGATTTTAGCCTCTTACCTGACTTTAATCTGTGAAACACTGATGCAGGGTGGGAGGCTTTGACCACTTGACTACACATTAGCTGTTCATTAGCATACCCAAAAAAGATGGATGAATCTTTGTGGTACTAATTCTATCGGATGCTCTTGGTGGTCTTAGTGCTCTGACGGTTGCCAGGGACAAGCCTGAAATTTGTGGCACGATGTTGTCGCAGATGGACTAGAAGGTATTACTAACACCAACTCTGGAATTTATGGTTTCTGTATTAATTACACAGAAAATTATGTGAAAACCTTTTAATCCTCCACACTGGCAAGTAAAGAGTGCAGCCTATAGCCAGAAGGACTAAACAGTTTTAACTAGAAGACAACGTATCAATAGCCTTGGCACTGGAAAGATCAAGAAAAATTAGTAACTAGTCTTGAAGTTCTTCTCTTTCCTGCCTAGGGAAGAATTAAAAATTTAAACGAAGAGGTCAGAAGGCAAAGAGAAGCTGAAGAGAACTACTTGGAAAATATAAACAGTATAAAAGCATAAAGGGGGAAAATAAATAAGAGGGGGGACTGTTTCTTTTTGGTACTGCTGGTTGTTGTTGTTTTACTTTAATAAAAGAACTGGAGGGAGAAAGAGGGGCAGCTTTTCCTACAGCAGCCGTTGCGTTGAGTCCTATTGGAGCTCATCTCTCAGCATCTGAGTAATCCCACACGTTTGATATCCAACCTTTCCCTGAGATCCCAGAGCTCTGAAACTCTTCATTCTAGAGGTGGTACCTTTGGCAACATGAACAGCAGAGAAAGAAGAGCCCGTTTCCAGGTGAATGTCAAAACAGGAAACAACTTCTGCTTAAGTAGACCTGTGCTTTCTCTGCTCTCACTTCACTGAGAAAACTAATTTCCTGCCCAATTATGTGTTCTGCTTTTCTTCCACTTCCAACAGGCAAAGCAAGCTGTTTATTCTTAAAGGTTCACCTGCCAAGTAGTTTAAATTCCCCACTAAAAGCCAGATAGATGTTTTCATTCATCGCCTCTTGACGTCTTCCCCTCTCCAAACACTGCAACAAGGTTCCTGGGTCTTACGCAACGGATGACCTACCTCACATAGTTTTTTTGTTCTTCTCTTCCATCTCCTGTCTCCACTTCTCTGTCCTGCCTGCAGGCTACATAAACGCCACTCCCAAGTTCTTTTCTTCCCGTACATCTCACTAAATTTACGGTATTTTTCCTGCCATTCTTCATGCTGCTCTGGCCTAGTCTTGCCTTTCTTCATAAGCTTTTAACATTAGTACTTTGTCTTTCATTACACCTGTTTTCAGCTTTCACTTGTACATGGTTTGTTTCCACACCTGTTATTTACACCGATTCTCTCTCACGTACAGGGACATAACTCACAGACCAAGGGACAAATAAGGGTACCAGAACTAGAATCATGGTCTAGACTTTAGGATGTGAGTTTTGCTTCAGCTTTGAAAACCTCAGCCCTTATAACCACAGAAGAAAAGAGAAAAGACTCAGTTGCAGATGGGGATTAATTAGGCTGATCAAAAGTAGTCTCATCTCAAGGAATGAGCAAGACACAAAACTTGTTCTTTTGTGTCAATTACTTTGAGGCAAAGCTGTTATTTACCTTTTCTAAAGACTCCTCTTCATAGCCTCTTCCAAACTTTTCTGTCTGCTCATCAGTTGACTCCACTATCACTAGACTAGTTCTCCTGGGAGAGAGGTCATCCTGGTGGAGCTGGGGTTCCTCGGGCTCTTGGATGATGGGAGAGTCGCCCCTCTGAGCAGATGACAGGGGCTGTGGGGATGTTTTTTCTCTCTCTTCCTTCGCCACACTGAAGTGTGCTTTTCCAGTTACTGGTGCTGTAGACTGCTCTGTTCCTGGAGTTGTGACACTGCAAATTACAGGTTCAAGGGAAGAAGTTACTACCACGCAGTCCTTTCCCATTTCCATAAATTGAGCCTTATGCACTGATTAAATATTGTTGTGTTGCCTGTCATCTAGCAAAGTCTAGAAATAACTGATACTTCTTGAAAATAACTACAGAGCACCCGGCTAGGAATCCCTCTCATCTTCCTGACCCAAGAAAATCTCCAAATGGATGCCCAAACGTTGCACCCAATTCTGCAAAACTTGGTCTTTGTAAAGGATTTACGTGAGCTTTGCTGTCACTTGTGCCCTCAACAAATCTAGGTATTATTTTCTGGGGGGGAAGGAGACAGATGGAGAAGGAGAAGGAGAATTCTGGAGCCTCACCAAACAGAAATTCAGCAGAGAATCTTTTTTTTTTGTTTGTAATGTTATTTTCACTGTTGAACATGGCTCTAATTGCTGCTGCAAGTTATTTAAACATATTATTACATATATTACTATGTAACATATATAAAAGTAATACATATATTAAAGCATATGTAGATGCAATATTTTTCTGTTGCATCTGGGTGAATAATATTGACTTCAGATAGAATCACAGAATGGTTTGGGTTGGAAGGGACCTTAAAGATCATCTCGTTCCAACCCCCCTGCCACGGGCAGAGAAATCCTCCGCTACACCAGGTTGCCCAAAGCCTCATCCAACCTGGCCTTGAACACTTCCAGGGATGGGGCATCCACAACTTCTCTGGGCAACAATTATTAAGCTCACTCTCATCTAACTGAGTTGTATCAAGTAACCTTCTAACTCTGATGCTAGCTTGAAAAGGTCACTTCTGGTTTGCACTAATAGTGAAAACATTACCCATTCACCACCCAGAATCTTCTTTTGAGGTTGAGTTTTCTCTTTTCATGTATATCAGAAAAAAAACCCCAAAACAACTATATAAAAACTGGTGGAATTACAGCCTGAAAAACAGTGAGCCTGCAGAAATTAAATCTTCCACTTCGAAGACTTCAGAGATGCTTTAGAGTGGTCATCTACATGCTTGGTTTTTTCCCCATCTCATCCTAAAAATTAACTGAGGGAATTGTTAAATTTTAATAATAGGAGTCCAGATTCTGTTCTCCATGACCAATCCCCTGAGCAGATAACACTAATAATAACAGTAACAGAATAACATGCATGGATATGTTTTTTCCCTGACGTGAGTTGGGTTTTGACAATTTGTTGTGCTCCCCCAACTGCTCTTGAAACAATTGTGTTCTAAAATAAGAAAAGATTTCACTGTAGTGAAAGGCTATACATATTATTGTATAATTCCTCTTAGTATGTGTTCCTTATGAGCTACTTAAATCTAGGACAATTTTCCTCCTCAAACTAGACATGAAGTGTAGTGATATCCTCCTGTGACCACTACTTGCATTTAGTACTGGAGATATTGTCTCAAATGTCTTCTCTATTCCTCAGAAACATTCATTCCCTCTTGCAAATCATTAGGATTAGGGCAACCTAAATCCCCTACCTTAGATGCTGTTTTCTGTCTCCCACACTCTCTCCTGGATGTAAAGCTTATCTTGAGCAAAAGCATCCCCAAAAGACCGTTTGCTGGACTCAACTGCATTTTGACTGTTTGGAGCTGCATCTCCACATCCAAGTTAATCACGCCCAGGAAAACCACTTCTTTGGAAGGGGATCCTTGATATTTTGCTAGCCTATGAATACCTGGAACAACCCTGCAGAGAGTTCTCAGCGTGGGCACATGAGTAGGGATGGTGGGAAGAAAGAAACAGGATTCTTTTCAAGTGCCTTTCCAAATGAAACCAACCCCACTGATGGCCCCAAACTGGAATCAAGACTTTGCTGTGTGGGTTTTCTAAATCTCTATTTTACCATATGCTGTTTCCTTTAAGTACTTTCGTCTCGCCTGTGTAAAACCCTGATTCTGTTCCTTTGGCCATCTGAAATTCACTGTTAAAAATCTCGTTCCTGATTTGCGGTTATGAGTTTTGTAAGTAATGATCAAGTTGGAAAATTTTTGCCTTGACTGAAAAAGCCATCCTGAAGTTGCAGAAAGGCCCTTCTAGTGTTAATTCCATTAAGTTTACCATTACTTGCCATCTAACGTATGGAAAATATATGCAGTTTGCAAAAAAAGCCCCACCTCTACATTATCCCTCTTTTCTTTCACAGGTACTAAACCAGATTATTGCTTTGTCTTCACAGTGCCAAACTGACTCTCCTAATCCTTAAGGCTTCCTCCACATGGATTAAAAAGTCAAACCTGCAGCAGGAGCTAATGAACTGGTGCGCACGATTGGAGGAAAACTCTGGTGAGTTCATACATTCCAAAGAAAACTCTAAGATCCTCTTATTGCGGGGAGAAGAGATAACCCATTCCACATAGGTTTCATCCTGGTCTTTTGGCACTTACAAATATTCATGTTGTGAAGCAGATATTTTTTCTGGCACATCTTGGGGTTTCCCTGAGAAGTCAGCTTCCTCTTCTTCCTTGTGTGCTTGTCTCAGGAGCTCAGCCATTGATGCTTCTGCCTCACTCCTGGGAGTATTGTCCTGAAAAGGAGAATAACTGACAGACACGTCTTCCTCAGAGACAAGAGGAGGGTGCTCTGTTGGCTCACTGTCTTTAGATATTCTATGTTGTTCTTCCTGCTTATGTCTTGAACTGTACAGTTCTTCTTGCAGCACAGAAAACCCTTTAAAAAACAGAGAGAGGAGAAATGTCATTACAAGTCTTACTAGAAAGCAGGAAATCCTTTTCATTCTCCATGTGCATTTCAAATCCCTGATGGAACACATGACCTGAAATTTTTAGACATCTGGAGTGGGAGAGGACACAACCTCTCTCTAAGCAGCTGAAGGAACACTGGATTACCACTACGATTGCCAAATAATCAGTCTTGACAGTAACAGGTGAAATGAGATTTACCCTGAAATTTACCTAGAGTAATTAATCTTGAAACCCTCAAAGTATGAAAGAAGATTCACAACGTTTTTTTTTTTTCCAGCACATTAGCACAGGTTTTAGTGACTTTTTTCCTCCTATCTGCTTCTGGAAAAAATAACTACACAAAGAAAAGAAATTTATACAGGACTAGGTGCAAGGATGAGCTATTTTATAAACACATCCACCCAGCCCCAACTCCTAATCTCAAAGCAAGGGCTCTCATTCTGCAAAAAACGTAAAATAACTTGTGTTTCTGTTCCACAGGCTACAAGTCACAAGCTTGGGCTTTTGTTTTTCCTTACTAGCCACCGTCACTAGGAACCTACCGAAGTCTGAAGAATAGCTCGGGGGAAAACACAACTGCTTGGATTGAATTTGAGCTGGACATGGAGGTTAACGTTCTAAAAGTAATTGGTTGTGATGTTAGAACGCTAATTATAGCAAATAACCTTCTATTCCTACGTTCTCTTAAATATGGGAGGTTTGCAGCTGTCTAATACTTTGCTAAGCTACTGGTTCAACACCAAGTTACTGGTGTAAAAGTATCACTTCCAGAAAAGAGAACTTTATTTCACATAATTTGGAGGTGTTTCTTTAGTTTACAACCATTGATTTCATCTACTGAACTTGTAAACTTAAGAAATCCAACAGCATCCTAGCAGAATTACAATATCCTGGATACTTGAATCCAAAGTTTCTTCCAAAGCATGGAGTAGTTTTCCTTCTGCAGATCTTGGTCAAATCCTAATGCAACCTTCTTAACTTTTATGGGAATACTTGTATAAGCAAAAAAAAAACCCCAAAAGTAAGCATAAGTATTTGCAGCAGTTTCTTACTAATAAGAGTTAACAGATTATCCTAGTCAAGCATTCCAGAAGAGAAGCTAGTGCTTAGATGAGATAACCTGGGCAGTCTGGAGCAGGTGTTTACCTTCACTATGGTCCAATCCTATTGTCTGTTCAATTTCTGCGTACGTGCGAGTGCCGTGGACCTGCACGGAGTCGATGCCGCTGGTCTCCATGAGGTGAACGATATCCATTCGGTTGATTTTTGTGAGACACTGGGTAAGATTTGTATCTGTGGCAACAGAACGACACCGTGTACCTGAGTTAGGAATTTCACATGCTCCCTCCTTTCTGTTTTCCATATGAAGGACATGTATAGGAAGGATACTAAGCAATATAATATCATATATAAAGCACAGATGCATTTAGAAGCATTGCTATGTAAAATCTAAAATTAACTGAAGGGCTGCCTATAAAAATGACCACTCATTTTGGTTTTATCCTTCAAAAATTTTCATTTCCCCAAACATTTTTTCAGTTTAGGAAAAAGAGGCCTCGGTGTTTTTCCACTCTTCCTTTGCTGTCAGATGTTCCACCTTGCCCTCAAATGAACAAAATTAAACTATTTTCTCTGTAGCCCCTATGATACGCCACGTTACACCGACGAGCTTAAAAGAAATTAAATACAATGGTCATTCTTTCTATAGCCTGAATTTTACCCACATCATCTTTTTGTGATTATAACACACATCTGTCACCTCAACTAGCAAAGTGAAGACAGTTACACGTACTATAACTGGAGACAAACCTGTTGCATGTTTCCCATCCCGTTCAAGCCAGTATTTGAGGAGTGCATGGCTCTGGTCTTGAAGCGAATTAGGATTTTCAACTCGGATCTGGTGAATTTGCTCTTCTGTGAAATCCAGTTCTCTTGCTAGCTCTGAAAAAGAAATCCATCTCTGTAAAGATGTCTTTTTCTTCTTCCCTGCCTTACATCTCTTTTATGGCTATCAGCAGCCAAGTGGACTACAAACTCTTCTGAAACCAAATTCTCTTTGCTTCTACATACCTTCTATTTAGAGACGTTGGTAAACAGTAAGTTCAAGACAAAGACAGAAACGTGTTATGGCTAGAAGTGATGGGTCTGTGTGAACTTTTATTTTTTGTGTTGACCATTCCTAGTTCTCAGGGGCACAATAGAACTGACAAAATTTAGCGGTGACAAGCTATCAAGAAGCGCAGTTGCAGAAATTGCACGTGAGCAGATAAAAATATTTCTAGCTACAGAGCACCACGCTCAGCAGATTCTATCCTCTGAAATGTTGAATATTTCAGAAACTTTGATCAAAATCTAGTGAAAGAATTTATTTTAAGTATGGCATTTTGTAGGGCTAGATGAAAGCTACTAAAAGCTACATTAACACTACTACTCCCCTGGACTTGTTTCATGTAAAGAAAAGTAAATGCCTATGAATTACAGTTAAAAAGCAAAAAAATGAAAAGGTGAAACAGAATAACTGGTGTCTTTCAGATGTAGCATAGGCTCCAGACCGCAGTCCAGAAAAGAGAAACGGTTTAACAACCTACATCATCTTTATTGTATCCAGAACCAGGAGCAGCCTTCTGCCACCACCAAACTAAGATGCAACTGTTGAAACAGGTCCTCAAATGAGTTAAAGCCATGGAGAATTCCTGAGATTCCTACTGTTCTTCCTGGTCTCCAGATTTCTGCTTCTTTCACAAAGAAGGATTCATGTTCGATTCCTTTGTCATTATTGCTATAGTGGCATGGACTTGGTTTTGGAGGGTAGAGGGAACTCTAACCCCAAACCCCAGATAATCTTATTTCCAGGCCGGCTTGTAAACTGATGGAACTGTAAGCTTCAACAAATATACAGTAACTACACATTAGATTCAAATCCTAGGTACTCAAATAAGTTTAAACAAAAAAACAACCACTATTTTATCCCCCAAAGTAACATTTGACACAGTAATCTTTACTATAACCAATCTTTACCGTAATATAAGTCAGGAATACTTATGCAGGGGTGTTACTCTGCCCTCTCTAAAATGCTGTAACACATTAATGTCTACTTTGATGAGCATCCACTTTTTCTAGCTTTGTTTTCAGAACTGCCTGTTCATTTATACAAGTTTTTCAGCAGACTCCTAATCTGTTAAATTGCACAGCTCCGAGTCCTACTGATTTCAAGATAATCCACGTTGGGATGAGTGACATATGTTCCCAGTCTTCTCTATGGATTGAAATAGAGGACAAGAAGGGAAGAAGTGAGTAACATAAGCGAAAGTATCAAGGGGACAACATTTTTTCTCTGGTATACAACTCTTCTTTAACTCCTAGAGCCTTGCTTATTTTTCAGGAGCATGGTACTGCTCTAGGGATAGAGACGAAACAAGCGTAGACCTGATTTTTTTTTTTTTTTTTTTGGTAGTAATTTTTTGTTAGATTGCACCGTTTGACACAGCATTGAGATGTCTGCATAGCTCTTTTTCTTTGTAAACACGTTCGAGCTGATTTTCAGTGATAGACATCTGCATCTCATTCCGTATTACTTTCACTCGTCCTCAGTAACACTGTCTCAGATCTATCAAATCCACGATATTAAAGTGGTTGTTACCAGTTGATCCCTTTCCATCCCTTTTTGCTCAGCACAGTTCTGGAGAAAAGCAGCTGATGTCATTTATCCCTACAGTGGCCTTCCAGCTCAGGAGTTCCGGAACACAAAGGCTGTTTATTCATATATTCATTTATCTTCTAGCCAGAGCTGTTGCATTTTGCAAGAAGGAGTAGGGGAATGTATGCCAGCTCCTTGTCACTCTCTCATCCTAGGAGTTTCCTCTCTGGAGATGCCAGCAAGTGCAGAGACCTTATCTCTGCATCCCAGTTCTTGCCCAATAGGCTTCAGTAATCTTAGTAACCAGAAGATGGTAAGCTACCGAAAAATTTCTATAAAACATCTTTAGATAATCAGGCAATCATCTGAAAGAAACATGCATTAAGTGAGGAATGCTCTCCCTCCTTTCTCTTTGGAGCAGACGACGCGCGTTTTACCTGTCCAGCTGAATCCAAGATGATCAGCAATGTGGGCCAGTCTTTCCTCTGTCCTTTCCTGATCATCCTGTTGATCTGAAGGTCAAAGAGAGCCACAAGTTGCCTTTTACAAGTTAAAAACCGTTTTCACAGGTGATACAGCCCAAGAAGGGAAAGCGTTGTTGTTTTTTTTTCCCTAACTGCTGTAAATCTAAATGTGGACAGGCTGTTACAATGGGTTGACTAAACTGAGGACTGTAAATCCCCAGCTCAAAAAAACAGAAAAAAAAAAAAAAAGCACTTGATATTTCAAAAAGCACAGGACTACCCACATTTTCCATTGGAAAATTAGGCTTTCACGTGAAAATCTAAACAAGGACTGAAGTGCCTACGGTGCCTGTTTTGGCCAAGTGTTTTATTCTAAAACTTCTAACGTGAAATTGAAGACTTGAGCTAAGTCAAGAGCCATCATTTTCCATGCCTTCCTCAGCAAATGCCAAGGTTGAAAAATTCATCTGGACTGGT